CTTCCCGTCTAGGAAACCTTCGGGAGCCAGTTCTCTCCCACCCGATAGGGTGGCTAGGGGTTGGCACTGACTCCAGGTGCCCAGCAACCACGGGCGGTCACCAGGGAGATGAATGTAATCACTGTATTTGCCAAAGTCTTGGTAATGTAGTGCCTTAAAATAGCCAAACTGACCAAGCTGGTCACTGGATGCATGAAGTCTAGTCCTTTTAAGGTTTCTTAGGAATTAATCTATACTGTGGAGAATCAAACAACTCCAATGTGTTAATGTGGTTGCACATTTTGAATTTTGCATACTAGTAGGAAAGAAACAATTTTTTTATTAATCTCAATGCTGTCGGATATCAATTCTTTGCTCTCCTCTAAAATCAATAAAAGCCGAAAGCAAGGAAATGAATGCTGACAATGCCAGCCACTTAGCAGAGGGCCATCAGCTGGGTGACGGTTTCCTAAGTCGTTCCATGTGATGCGGTTATTTTTATCCAGTGCTTACATGACTGAAAGAAGCCGTCGCTGTGTTTACAAAGTTACATCGTGATACATCCTGCTGTTTAGACACATTGACTGTAGAGCTCTGACTCAAGCACTCTGTTTGGCATGTTTTGCCAAGCCGTTTTGGCAAGTGTGGCCACACTGAACACACACCAGAAAGCCTTGCACCATATGGGCAGAATCATTTCCCATTACATTTCTAAAACATTTGTATCTAAGAGCTGTTAAAAGTCAGCACAGCTTTGCACTGTGAAATGACATAACATAGAATGAAATAAGTCATGCATTTCAATATTTTCTAAAAACCGAGTTATCCCAAGAGTGAGACTGTGCAATATAATGGAAAGCTAAGGAGAAACTAGGAGGTAGTCAGTGGGAATTAGGTGTACCTTCTAGGGCGCATACAGAATGAGACAGATCCGAATGCGGACAATGGATGTCTTCTTTCCTGACAAGAGTACGACGTGCGTCATCTGGCCTGATGCTCCACCACGCAAGCACGTTGTGACAGCAGTGGAATGGAGTCCCAAGCCACTAGCAGTGTCAGGGAAATGGAGCAACATGAGCCTTTCTATTGTCAAATCTTAATTCCTGTCTGGATGAAAGGGAAATAGCCACTATTCTGATGTTACTGGGCCTGCAAAGCCATTCTTTCATCAGCTGATGCTACATGGACAAGTTGGGCCCAACAGTATGTTGTAATAACACATACTGCCTATAATCCTGAGGAAGGACTCTATTATGCTAGAGTGTTTATGACCCATGAGGGGAAAAATCCAAATACACTCACTTGCCCTACAGTTCTGAAACCGCTACATGTATCTCTTAGTCCACCTGCCAAAGGTAGATGCTTTCATATTACCCTTCACTTTCTGAGCGGAGCCTGGCGGAACACCCCTGACTATAATAACTGAAGCACCATGGCAGAAATGAGGACCACCAACAGTGAATGAAGCCCGAGTGCAGAAGCCTGATGAAATATTTTCCAGTAAAACGGGGAAAGCATAAACTTAGATGATACATTTTTCTCCAAAGCACTTAAAACACGGAGGTTAAATGATGGGATTTTCCCAATGCAGAGAAACCGTGAGAAAGGTGACTTATGTAACTACTTGTAGAATATTGCTCACCTGGGCCAGGCCCCGGCCTCACTTATTTATGCAGGTAATTGAACAGTTATCCGGAGTCTAGCCAGAACTGTACCCAAACTTCAGTTCATTGTGGAAATCAGGCATGCTCTTTGTGACCCAACTTCATATGCAAGAAAACACATCAAGACATTGTCACTGTGGGTAGGTATGGACTCTTCTGATAGCCTGGACTATGGATCACACAAGTCATGACCAAAAGGCCACGTTTAGCCTTTGGTGTCAGGTCAGCCCTGTGAGCTCCTCCTGTCACCATCTTGCATCCTGAACTGTTTGTATTTCATTTATCTTAGACGGAATTAGATACAATATCTCCAAGAAGACCCCAGGAGCTGACATGTCTAAGTTTCTTGCCATGAGAGCGATTTGTCTAACTTCTAGACAAAGACATAAAAGAATCAAAGCCAGGAAATCAGCAACATCTCCAGTTCTCCAAAGAGATCAAGGGACAGAGTGATGACAACATCCAGCCTTCGTAGTGAGACGTCGATGGAGTCCCTGGCTGGGCAAACAGTTACTCCACTTGGCTGATCACTGAACGACTAGGAGATTGAGTCCACCTACATGTGACTCAGAAGAAAGGTCTGGTGATCTACTGCCAAGAACTCAGCCATGGAAAACCCTCTGAGTGCAGGTCTACTCGGACACACGGGAGCTGCCAGGAGTCAGCGTTAACTCGACGGCAACTGGTTTTACAGAGAGTTCACATTGGCCTTATCCAAAGATACGCAATCTTCCTATCCTGGGAATTCAGACACTGCCAGGCTGAAAGAGGAAGTTCAGATGGCAGCACAGGGGGTCTCCTCAGGGGGGCTTCCAGCAGACTATCTAAGGAAATGCTATAGCATATGGTGGGCTGGGCTAGAGGAGTATGGCAATTACACGGAAAGTGCTAAGCACAATGGAACAAACACCTCTGACTGGAAAGTAAGGGATGGCCAGGAGAGGCACGAAAACTGGCCTGGGATGCTGAGTCAGTCAGTTCAGCTTTCTGGGCCTTGGTTTCCTTTTGTGCAAAAGAGATAGATGGCCAGCATGTAACACCAATATTTGGGAATCGAGTGCTGGGGAAGGGAGACCAAGTATGTCTTTAGACCAAAGGCGGGGCGCCACCTTGCGGTTTGGCAGGTCGAGTCTACCGCAGCCGTCTTTCTGGGTCATGTTATAATGCCAGCTACCCAGTAGGTTCCTGTCACCCTCCCTCGCTGGAGTGACGCACGCACTTCATCCTGACTTACACCCACGTCCAAGGTTACAGCAGTGTAAGTGCAAGAGCCACTAGCATCCACTTCTCTGATGAGCCAGCAGGACACAGGAGGCAAAGATGTCCCTTAGAAAGGAAGGTCACAGAATTCTCTTACTTGCAGGAAACCCTAAGGCTGGAGACTCGCTGCCATCGAGCCATTGTTAACTTATAGGGATGTCCCCTTAGGGGCTTCCAAAATGATAATGGTTTACACGAATTGAGAGCCCAGGCTTTCTCCCACAGAGAGGCTGGCGGGTTTGAACTGCCTACTGTGCAGATCGCAGTCCACCACATAACCACTACATCCCCAGGGCTCTGTCAAAGGCTGGAGGATGTTTTTAGAAAAGCATCGTCAAGTATTTCTGCTACAGTAAAAAGGACACTGCACGATGAACCACATCCAGAGTAGAACTGTCTCTGTGGGGCTCAAAGACCATGACTCCTTAAAGGAGTGGAAAGCTCCATCTTTCTCCCTCAGAGCTGTGGGTGGTTTTGAACTACTAATTTCGTGGTTAGCAGCCCAATGCTTAATCCCCTACACCACCAAGACTCCTTCAAAATCATTAAACCTCATTGCAAACAAAGAAAGGTCAGATGGGAAAACTGATGAGGTGATGCTATTCTTTTGGCCAAGAGTTCATGTTGCTAAAGAATCTCATGAGATATGCACTGCCTTCTCAGATGTCTGAAAGCACTTCAAAACAGGATGCATCTTTCTCCTCCGTGGATAGCCACGAGTGTTCAGTGTTGTGCTTTCCATAAGCAACATCATCGCATTTGTGAGTACCATTTCTGCTACTTCCAAATTTTCAGCAAAATTTCCCCAAAGAGGGAAGGAATATTAGTTTTCCCTACACCACTTAACAGATCTGATCAAAGGCCAGCTCCATCATACTCCACCTTCCCATGGAGGAAAGCTAACTCTCCAAGGACAGGCTATGGAAGGCTCTGTTTCTAAGGCTTCACAGATAGCAGGTGCTAACTAATTTTTGAATGCTAGCTGATAACAGCATTATGCCCTTCGATATTCAAAGAATGTAGCTATCTGCACTACTCTGATGAAAGAAGCCTTTCCTGACATTGAAATCGGAGGTTCTCAGGAATTTTAGCATCTCTGTAGTAGTAATTTTCAAGGAATGGTTCCAAAGATGTCATTCTATGGAGGTCAACAAATGAAACACAAGGAGCAGTGGGGGTGGCGGTGGGGGTAATGGTATAGCATTAACTTCGAGCTTATAGTTCGGGGAATGTAGGAAGATGGGGTGGACGAGGCATACAACAGCTGGGTAAAACAGTTTGCTCCACAGACATCGGCACAAACAATGTTTTTGCAAATGGTAAAGATCCGCTCGGGACAGAAAGCCCCTCCGATGCCACAGAATTGACAGACCAGTCCATTGCAGTTCTCAGAATGGCTTCCCACCATGTTCAGACGAGATCAGAACCTCTGGTCGATTCAGTGAGAGCCATCGTCCTCAGTGAACCAAACAAGTGACTGAATTTCTCATCGTTCAACCAATCACGTTGGCATTGTGGCAACCAAGCCTGATTTAAGGGTATGGAAACTGTAGGTATAAGAACCTACAAAATCAAGTAGGTGAACATGGTTTTAAGCTCTTCCGATGTTTCCTGCCTGAGACAATGAGAATGACCACTGTTTGTAAACTCCAGCGCCCACACAGTACATTCTTGATCAACAAAGTGGTACTTGTTACAACAGCTGAGAAAGAGTTGACTTCCAACGAGTCACTGTCTGTAGAGGTGAATTCTGTTCACCGTTTTCTTTTTGAATAAGGTGGCTCTATACCGTCGACTTGATTTCAACCCAGAGCAACCCCATGTGACAGAGTAGAACTGCCCCACAGGGTTTTCTAGGCTTTCATCTAGATGGAAACAGGGTTCTCTCCCCTGGAGCCTTTGGGTGGCCTTGAACTGCCAACCTTTCAGTGAGCATGACCACTGCACCACCAGGGCTCCTATTAATAGGTGTTATCAACCAAGACAGTGCACACAATGCCACCTACCCTTCTGTCTTAGCTGAGAACGATCAATTCCAATCTTTGGAAAATAGAAAAGCAATTTATTTGAATTGAAACAAGAGAATGTTTTTTCCTTGTCCCTTAAGATAAACTGTGTTTTTTTTCACCTTCCCCTGTGAACAGGAACACTAAGCTCATGCTTCCTGGGACCAACATTTCCCAGGAAGCTTGAGGATTTCAGAGAGGCACTAGGAGCTCCCCTGTTCTCTCACTCTCATTGTCTAACTAAGAATCATTTAAAACCAGTGTAACTTTTGCTTTTTTGCAATATGCTGAAATGCTGCTGCAGAGGTGTGGACTTCTCAAACAGCCCTCAGTGGATTTCTCGCTTGGAACTGGGATAGCTGGTCCAGAGGGCTGGGGTTCAGGATGTCTGAAGTGTGAGAGTACGACATGCTTTGGACTGTAAGGTGATGCTCACAGGACACTCACGACTGGAACTCTGGAAAGGACCCGCTGCTACAGGGGACGGATTTTGTCCACTAATCCCCGGATCCATCCTGGGGGTTTTTGTTGAAGACGTCATCCTGAGAAGCCTGATGATCAATTCCGTCATAATAGGAGCCCCCGTTGTGCAGGAAAGTCCCCACGGCGCGCCCCTGTCGGGCGTGACCCACGGCGTCGCTGAACACTTTGTTTATTTGCTCCTCCGAGGGCATCCACCAATCAGGGTTCGAGGTACAATGCATCCTAATGAACTCTGTGGGAAGATACACAACAGTGAGAGAGAGAGAGAGAGAGAGACAGCTGGTTTTTGCCGAAGTTAATAGGAGAGGCTGCTTACTTTTAAACCACAGCTCTACAGAAAATATTTATGGGAAACCCAATGAAGTGCATGATATCACCGGTAGAACGACCTTATCCCATATGAATGTTCTTTTTTATGCACGAGGTCAATGCCACATAGGATAAGGGTGTACAACCTCTATGAAACATCTTCTGTTGAAATAACTGATTTCTATGCCGTGATACATATACCTCACACGTGGTGTCAGCTTTGCATGCATCTCAAAACCCGTGTTCCTTGCTCCCAGTTTGAGAAGGTTCACCATCTCTACAAGTTGTGAAATCTCAGTGCTGTGGTATTCTTTCATCAGCTAGAACAGGACGAGACACCAAAACCCACAACTCAACTCACTGTCACTGAGTCCATTCTGACTCACTAAAGCCAAAGTCACAAAAAGGGAGAAAGAGGCATCTGAGTTGGTTGTGAAAATCCTTAAAAGATTGTATTATTAAACCCCCAGCACACTGCTGTCAAGCCCATTCCGACTCAGAGAGACTCAATGGAGCCAGAGCAGAACTGCCGAGGCGGTCCGTCTTCCTGGAAGCTGAGCAGCACACCTTTCTCCTGCAGGGTGAGGAGCTGGTGGGTTGGAAGCCCGCCTAGTTTTGTGACGGTGCTATCTATAGACATCTGCCTTCAGATGAGATGTTCTCTACGCATTTAATTCCACTAGAAAAGCAATGAGCATGTCCGGGAGAGTGAATGTACACAAAGGATAAAGTGTATTAACTGTGTGTGTGTGTGTGTGTGTGTGTGTGTGTGTGTGTGTGAGAGAGAGAGAGAGAGAGAGAGAGAGAGAGAGAGAGAAACACACATTGGTGGATATGAGTATATCTGGTCTTCTTTAGATTGAGTTCAATTTAACTTTTTAATTTCTTCCTCAAGAGGGTAGAAGACATAGATATTTCTAAATTAGCTACTTTAGAACGCTTGCCAATGGAATTGCGCATTTGGGGAGAAGCTGTAAGTTAAACAACTTTTGTGCAGCTGCCTGAAGCGTCCGGGGGATCCAGTGCCCGCACCTGCACTCCTCCAGCGCAGTCCCCGCCACCGCGCAAGGCCAGGGGTCTGACTGCAGAGTCTGCGCTGCCTGGAATCTGGAAAGGCCTGGTCTTACTGACTTTGGGGAGGAGTCCTGCTGATTTGGTGGTTATGTGTTGGGCTGCTAACTCCAAGGTCAGCAGTCTGAAACCACCAGCCGCTCCATGGGAGAAAGACCAGCCTTTCTACTCCCTTAGGAGTTCCAGCCTTGGAAACCCACAGGGGCAGCTCTAGCCTGTCTTACAGGGTTGCTTGGTGCAGCTTCAACCTGACAGTGGTGAGAACAAAGAATTTGCAGTGCAGAAGTTGGCACTCTAAAGGACCCCCCCCAGGAAAGCCCCTTATGAATTGAGGCCTGGCCGTCTCCAGAGCGTCGCGTCTCACGGAGAATTGGCCCAGGCATTACTAACTTTGGGGCATTCCCTTAAATGCTGTGCCTGAGGTAAAAACCCCAGCTTCATTCCAGCCCTGGTTACCTTCCTTGAGGCAAGAACCACACTTATTTAGCTCCTCGACCCACAAGGTTGGCAGGAATCAGGTGGCTAATCCTGAGGCCTGGGAAACACGGGGCTAATTCTCACCCTTAGGTCATGATCACCATCACCCTGCTCCGAGAGATCGATGTCCTGGAATCTATGAGACCGACTGTGCAGCCCATTCTCTCCTGGGCTTACCATCGTCCTCAAAAACCTGCAGACAATCAACTCCAGGAGCCAAGAAACCAAACTCACGGCCCTGGAGGCAATTCCGACAGAGTAGAACAGAACCCGGTAACCCACGAAGCTCCCCGGCTCCTGTTTTCGCCTCCTCGCATGTCTCTTAGTCCCTCCTTTATGCAGTAGGTATTCAACAGCTGTGTAAGTAAGTTTACTGCCTTTGTCCAGATTCTCCTACACTCATAAACAGAAGACAAAAATGATCAACGACAGGGAATCAAGGCTAACAGTGAAGGACTGCCAGAGCTCCTTCCTGAGCAAAGTCAACTCCAACATCGCCATCCTGGCCGAGTGCGCTGCGCTGTGACCTGCCCTTCCTGCCCCCTCCATCGTATCGTCATGCTGGGACTGTTCCTGGTAAAGACTGCTCAGGGCTCCTTGTGCTCTGGAAATATGAAAACCTCTTCGTCTGCCCTCCCTTGGGGCAGAGTCACCACCTGGAACTTGGTTGCATTCCCCTAAGCACGCGGCTTCCCCACCACGAGTGTGTCCAAGCCTGAGGGTTTCATCACGGCGAGGATGTTCCACCTGGGAGCCAGCTGGACTGCCCAGCAGGCTGCTGTCTCACCTGCATCTTTCGGAAGGGAATGACTTCTAGTGCACAGGAGGGTCTGAGAATCACAGCCTTTGAGAGAAACATATCTCTGCTGTCACCTGCTGTCCCACAACTCAGACATCACCCTTTCTTGCCTATGCATTCACCCCAAGGAGAGAAGCTTGTGTTCATTACATGAGAAATCAGCTAGTGGAAGCAGGTCTCTGGTTAGACAGCCTGAGGTGCATCTGAGTGATGTAGGGTCCAGGACAGTTCTCAGGACAATGCTACTGATGTCTTGAGATGTATTTTATTCACGGTTTCACTGATTTTTGGGTTAAAATGTGAAATCCTTTTAGAATTATTAGAAAGGCATATATTGCTGTGAGCATCTTTATCTTAATGTCCTTTAACTTCCTTTGGGGCCTACGGGCAACTTCCCCGAGTACGCATGGTGGACGTCCTTGGTAAAGTCCCCAAGCTCCCCACTACCTCTAGGTGAGTTACCCCATCCTCGCTGATGATGTTGGGGGATAAAGGAAACTACGACTGGTTTCCATCACTCAGAGTCTTTGACCAAGTGGGGTTTTCACACTGGATATGCTAGAACGCTTGTGCCTGGTGAACACTCATTTTAATTGTTTTTCTCAGTATGCGCCCTCTCCATCAGAATCACCGAGGGTGCCTGTGAAAGCATCCATAGGTGGGCCCCATCCAGAACCTACTGAACCAGAGTATCTGGGAATGGGCCCAGGGAACCTCACTCACTGCCACTGAGTTGATTCCAACTCATAGCAACCCGATATGACAGGGCAGAACTGCCCTGTGAGTTTCGAGACTATAACTCTTTACGGGAATAATAAGTCCTGTCTGTTTCCAGAGGAGTGGCTGGTGGTTTTGGATGCTGGACCTTGTGGATTGCAGCAGCCTGTAGCCACTACACCACCAGGGCTCTCCCAGGGAGACTGGGCTGCTAACAGAAACTCCATGTGTGTCTTAGACACAGAGATATTTGAGAATCATAGTGGACATGCCCGAAGGGGGTGTAGGAGTAGAAAAGGCTCCTCCTCTTTCTCAAAACCAAGGATGTAACAGTGATCGTCATTTTACTTGTAACTTCCTCTCCAGGAAATACTTATCCCTGTTCAGAATCAATCAATATTATATCTCGCCAAACTGAAAAATTGCTATTGAACCAGGCAGGTTAATATTTGAGCTTTCTGGAATGGATTTCTCAGGTGTGAATGGTGTTTTTGTTGACACGCTCATGTTTTCACATGTTTTGTTTATTTGCATCTGCTGAATCAACTGGCCGTCTCTGGCTTCCTCCTCCCCAGCCTCTCTGAGCTATCATACTGAGAAAAGCTGCAGAGCGTCCATCTGTTAACAGGGGAAACCTGACTTAACTCGTGTTTCTATACAGACATTTCTTTTTTAATTTTCAGATGAAAGGGGCAAGGGATTGGCTTTAAGGAAAATGAATTCTAAGCAAATTGAAAGTATTAAGAAAACTAGTCTTTAGAAGGTAGGCAGAAGGAAGCACCGATTAGAACCAGGCGTGGGATATCATTTGACCAACATAAACATGAAGGTAAGTCAAAAAGTATTGTTCCTGGGTTTCCAGTTCACACACGCATGTCTATCCCAAACAAACGTGTTTGAACAGACACCTGCCATCAGTGGATGGCTGCAGACAAGCCCTCTCAGGAACACGCCTGTCTGATCAGGCCGCCCTCAAGAAGGATGACGTCAAAAAAGTGGCTTCTGAAAGGATGTGCTGGGCCCCTTCCATTCAAGGCAGAAAGGCCGGCTCAGCTTATGGCAACTCTCTTTGGGGATTCTCAAAGGGTCCTCTTGATAGATTTTCTTGAAGGCCACCAGATGATCACAGGAGCTTATTTAGGAAGAAGTTTTAAGAAAATTTAGCCCTGCACCACTGAGGAGAGCCAGGGGAGCTGCACTTCCGCCACCCTCTCCAATCAGGACAACGCGCTCGCCTATTCTTCAAAGACAGCAAGGGTGGTCCTGTGAGAATCTTGGTGGGCTGCTCCAGTGCACTCACCCTACAACCTTGATCTTGTGCCTTCAGACTTGTGAGAACCCGAACCCGAGGGACACTGAACCAGAGGGCTGATTGAAGGAGGTCAAAATGGCTGTTTTGACATGGTGTCAGTCGAAGATCGCAGCATTCTCCGGGGAAGGGTGGCCACTGTTGTTAGGGGAGGGAGAGTCTGTTGCAACTCCTAGCGACCTGGTCACGTACTGCCTGGCCCTGCGCCATCCACACACTGGCTTTCTTCAGGGAAGGCTCAGAGAGATGGAACTACCACCTCTTCGAGTGCGCAGACGGAGCTGACGCATAGGTGGAAAAACCACAGCTTCACCTTTTGATAGTTTTCTTTACTAAAAGGAGCTATATGTTTGTAGCAATACTTTTTGACTTACTCTCTGGTGTTTGTTGCTGCCGGGTCGATTCCAACCCATAGCAACCTGACAGAACGGACTAGAACTACCACACAGGGTTCCGAGCCTGGAAATCTTACGGATGCAGACAGCCACTCCTTTCCCCTGCAGAGTCACTTATGACTTGGGACCACCGACCTTTGGGTGAGCCGCCCATGGCTTTCTCCCTCGGGCTCTTGCAATCATGAGATTTAATTGCATATTCACAATTCACCATTCTACCCCTGTTCTGTGCATGCCCCGTATTCTGCTTTTGCTGGCAGCGGCCTTCTCTGGTGGCAATGAACCTCAAAATGCAAAGTGGGGAACATGAGGTGCTATGCAATGTTTCTGTACCGTTAAGCGGGAACACCAAGGCTCAAGCAAATGGAGAATCGTTAAAGAATTTCTTAATACCAAGGAGATGGGCCACATGAAGCCTATAAGGTCACAGCGGGGGTGGGGGAGGGGTGGGGAAACCAAAATACAGTACGGCCGAACACTTGTACGCGGGGAGCCACAGCCCATGCGGTGAAATGAGACCACGGATGGCGGACACTGAGTGGAAGGATGCAGTACCTCGAAGGCATGTGACTTTAACTGGATCCAGAGGGCGTCTTTCGGGACCTGTCTCTCCTGACTGCACTGACCTTTTCCTTTTCCCAAGGCCGCATGAGTACTTAAGCTCATCGGTCGTGAAAACAAATCGGATGAGGTATCGAAGGAGCCGTCTCCCGTCTTTCTTGGAAGAGTTTACCGCCTCGTCCCACTGTTTGCTCGTGATGTAGACAGGATAGTTGTTCAACAGCTGCTTGCTGCCCTGGAAAAAGTGAAAGGTTTTCTCATTACCTACTCTGCCAGCCAGCAGCCAAGGCCATTCTCCGTGTCAAAGGCAAACACATTTTTTAACCAAACACATTGACGCTGACAATGAACCTGGTATTGAAGCGTACAAGTAATTGCTCACCCTCAGGACGGGCACTTTTCAAATTGCATTTGCATTTTCTATAACAGAGCCAATGAGGTATAATGAACACCTTTGAAAGAGGAGCTATTTATAACTTGAGTTTTAACAGGTAGGTTAAAATGTGTCAAGATCCAATGACAGAGAACACTATTTAAATATAACCTGTAACTTTCCTTTTCAATCTATTAAAATATGCAAACATGACTTTGAAGAGTGTGATCAGACAGGTCTCTCCAACCTTTGGTTGCAGTCATGTACTTTGAGAATTGGTGCTGGTGGTCTATGTTCATAAGGCATCACTCGGGCTTAACGCACTTAACATTTGATAGCCAAAACAACCCCCAAAACATAAAGTTTTTAATAAGGGGGAAATGTGGAAATGAAAGAAGTCATAATAATGCAAAACATGTTTCCTGAAATTATAGCTTCTGCAAATGCCACTATGTCAACTCCAAATTTTTCTTACTCTTCACCTTCATAATTTATGTCTGCTATAAAATTCCCAGGCTAAATAGCTGCAGTGGGACTAATTACGGGAATTTCCGTAACATTTATAAGCCATGTTTGGTCAATTGCACCTACACAACCATTACTGTAGTTCTGCTTATCCATAAAATTCTACAGTCCAGGACCAATGAATTAACCCACGATCTCAGTTTTAATGTACTCCTTCCCTAGTAATTAAGGTGTGCAAAATAAAGAAGAGAGGACTCATTCAGTTTTACAACTCTGCAAATTTACTATAGGTTATAAATTTGGCACTGTTTGGGTGTGATAGGGTTTTATTAAAAAGAAAAAGCTCAGAGCAGTTAAGCACACTGAGATGAGTACACAGGGTGGGAACCACACGAAAGGTACAGCCAGATCTAGCCATGTATTACACACATTGAAAAAGCCCTGGGAGCACAGTGGGTTACTAATCACAAGGTCAGCAGTTTGAATCCTCCAGCTACCCCATGGGGCAAAGATGAGGCTATCTGCTCCCATAAAGAGTTCCAGTCCTACTCTGCCTTATGGGGCCACTATGAGTCAAAATCAATCTTGATGGCAATGGGGGTGGGGGTGGGGTGGTACCCAACTGGAAGCCTAATACCTCATCTGTCCTTTCTTGAACAAGCAAGACTATGGATTTAGGGTCCTTTTTATGGGAGGCAGTTGAGGTGAGTGGTGTGCGCAATGAATTTAGAGCTAGCTGAGTTGGAAGTGAATCTTGGTTCTCTGTGTTAGATGTGTTTCTTGAGCAAGTTACTTTACGTTGTTAGACCAGAGTTTCTTCGCATGTAAAATGGGAAGCAGCAACAAATCTTGAGTTTAAGATGTGCATGTTGGTGACCACACTCCAGCCCTTGGCTCTGTGCACAATGGATGACCTTAAATACAAGATGTGAGCAAAAGATGACCAGGAACAAAGTCCCTGGGTGGCACAAAAGGTAGAGTGCTTGCCTACTAGTAAAATAATGCGTGGTTCGAATCCATTTAAAGGGACCTTAGCAGACAGGCCTGGAGAGAACGAGAGAGCTCAATTCTACTCTGTACATAGGGGCATCGCCCTCTGTTGGCACGAACACTCTCCCAACTGTCACTGCTACACTCTCAGAGCGTAGAACAGTGCACGGCACAGGCTACATGCCAACACCGACAAGATAATGAAAAGGGCCCGGTAGCTCAGAAGCTTCTCTTGACTCAGAAGTGCTGTTTCATGGCAGGAAGGGAAAGAGGATGACGGCGTGAACAGAGTGGGAGGCAATGTAGATGGAGAGGAGGCGATGAGAGAGACACAGAATCAAGAGGATCAGGCAACCCATTCCGTGAGCCAAGGTCTAGACTCCAGGGGATGTCAGTCGGTATAAGGCATATGAAGGCATATGTTCAGGGCTGGGGCAGGGAGGAGGGGTAGGCAGCGGGGAAGATAATTCCTTTACTTCTCAAGTACAGCTGGACACGGTTATGAAGGTTCTGAGTGGCAGACCCCTCAACCTTCAAGACAGTCAGATAGGGCAGCAGCCAGGTGGAATCCGCAGACAGCTCGTTTTTAACAGTCATGTCTATGTCTACATGTGCCTGGACAAGAAAACAACGTGGCTAGGTAAAAGCAGTCTTCATTTTTAAGAAGCCAAAATCCAAAATGTAAATGGAGAAGTGACATTACTCTTAAAGCCACTGAGTGAAAAGGAACTGTTGGTAAAATAATTGTAGTGATAAGTGTCTCCCTTTACCAGCCCCAGGCCCCAGGCCCAAGCACTGTGGTCTCCTTTCTCCTCGCAGGCAGTGCTTCTAACATCCTTCCAGGGCTGGGCTCTGCAGTGAGGCTCATGCAAGTGACTTTAATGTTTCTGAACTTCTGCTCCTTTCTGCCCAAATCAGGGTCATCTTCTCAGCTTGCAGGTTTAAGCGAGGGGCCATCAGTCTCCACACCAGAAGGTCAGCTCATGAGGCGTGGGGTTTTGATCTCCTTATTCCATGCTGTGCTCCCAGGGCCAAGGTCAGTGTCTGACACAAGTGGAAAGAAGCACTGCCAGTTGCCATCCACAGGGGTTTCGTGGGCTGATTTTCAGAAGTCGATTGGCAGACTTCCTTTCTAATCTTTCTCAGTCTGGAAGCTCCACTGTTCAGCATCATAGCAACATGCTCGACTCCACTGGCAGATGATGGGTGGTGGATACACATGTGCTGGCCAGGAATCGAACCTGGATCTCCTTTGTGGATGGCAAGAGTTCTACCCTCTGCGTCAACGATGCCTCCTCGACAAACACACAGCAGGTGCAGCAAACATTTATTGAATGACTGATATAGTAGAGTACTTATCACCATGGCTGGCCCAGAGCAGACAGTCAACAAAGGTGACTGGAATTAAGAGTTCTTCTTCCTCTTCCTTTTAAAAAAAACACTGTGGCACTGGGACATTTGAGATGCTTCTGAAAACATAAATTGGGGAAGCTAAAGGTCAAGATCTAAATTTCCTTACCTTAAAGAACTTTACGGAGGACAATGTAGACACGTGGCCATTAAAAGGGGACTTCTGTCAAGGGAAGGGGAACGAAGAATTATTCCTTAATGGGCACAGAGTTTCTGTTTGGGAGGATGAAAATCTTTTGGGAATCGATGGTGGTGAGCCTGCCACAAGACTGTGGATACAATTCATGCTGTTGCCCTGGAGCCTTACAAAACGGCACATTTTCTGTGAGATATATTTTACCACAATCATTTTCTTTTTCTAGGGACTTTTGGTGACAGAGGACTACGGCCATCCGTGGATTTAATCATCCTCTGAGCTTTAGTCCTTGTCAGGACATATGGAAAGTCCACAGTTCAAACCCACCAGCCACTCTGTGGGAGAAAGATGAGGCTGTCTGCTCCTGGAAAGATGTACAGCCTGTGGGGGCTGCGGGGAGAGGGAAGGGACTCGATGGACGTGGGTGGCACAGTTCTTGTCCGCACACACAGGCTCAGACCAGCTCGCTGGCTACTGACCACAGCACCGCACATTTCCAGGCACACGTAGAAAAGAAGAAAGTGGGGCTAGGTGAACATTTAAAATCCAAGGTTGGACAGATTTACAAATTGCTTTCCTTCGGGTTTGTGGGTTTCCCTGGCCTGTGAGGATTACCACATCTGCTTTGCCAAGGGCGTTGCACCCTTTCCTAAGGCCTCCCAATTCAAAGGGGGGCAGAGCTGGAGTATCCTGTCCTCAAGTTCAGGGTTCGCTCTGTGACAGTAAGCTTTGTCCCTAAAAATATCAGCGTAGGGTTTGTTTCACGACGGGAGGTATTGTAGTTAGGGAACTGGCAACCCAAGGAGGTGTCTCAAACCCTCAGAGAGCATCCACTCTGACCCAGAAGAGCCCAACAGCTCTCCTAAAATGTGAATCTGCCAATTTTGAGGTAATTTTCTCCAGGAGAAAGACCATCAAAGAGAGAAAACAATTTACTGATCAAAATACAACTCAAAATGCTCGAATTATGAATGGGATGTATAATCCTGTTTCAAGTTAGTAGAAATAAAATGTGATAAGTAATAAAATGAAGAAATTTTTGAAATGACAATAAGAAGAGTACAGAGGTGATGTTAATGATGGGTAATGAAAGGGCTTCCCAGGAGAAAAGTGGCCATTGCCATTGCTATCATAGAATTCTGGTGGCATGTTCTCTTCAGTTAGCTGGTAACATTTATTAAACTCTGACCCACTGATGGGTCAAGTTGAAAAACAAAAACAAAAACACCCGAGATGAACACTGTTCAATTAAAGTCTTCAGACTCAAACTCCAATGGAAGAGACGGGATGGGTATGTGCTCACTACAGAGGACCCCAGACAGTCCTGAATTGGGGTGAAGCGTAATGTGCGATAGGAGCACAAAGCAAGGGAGGAGCAATGAGGGGGAGCTCCTGGGAGGAAGTGGACATTTCAGCGGTGCTTTCTGGGACGATAGAAATGTCAAGTTAAGAAAAGACTTTCTGCTAGTGAGCAATCAATGGAATTCCCACATGGGACCTTTAGCTTGGGTCAGTTCTTTGGAGAAACAACTTTGCGGTGTCGACGATGAGTGAGAAAAGCCGCTCCGCGAGCAGTGATGAGGCTGACCTCATCCACGTGGCCGCAGAATGCTTGGGCGCTGGGGAAGAAGAAGAGGGAAAATGTGTGAACCTCAGATGTTGTTATCTGAAGTGACTAGCGGCCGATGTTCTTTATTAAAGAGAAGGCGGAAAGAAGGGGCATTCGGAGCAGGCGTGGTGAGGCCGAGAGGTGTGTGGCTTTCCACTTGGGGGCGGGCAGTTGGACATGCAGGTCTGGAGCTGAGTCATGGGGACTGGCGCTCCAGGCATTTGTAAGCTGCTGTTGTTAGTTATCATACAGATGGCGCTGAGTCATGGTGACCCCATGTATGACAACAAAATGCTGCACCATCTTCATGATTATTGGTACAGCCAAGGCTGTTGTGATCACGGTGTATTTCAGTAACTTTCCGTTATATTGGACAGTATTTGGCTGTAATCTATAGGGTTTCCACTGGCTAATTCTTGGCAACACATCATCACGCCATTCTTTCTAGTCTGTCTTAATCTGGAAGGTCTGCTGAAATCTGTCCATGATGAGTGACCCCGCTGGCATTTGAAATACTTCTTAGCCACACGGAAAAGCTATCATGGTACAGCAACTGACAGATAAGGTTGTGCTCTAGATATGTATAAAGGATGTGCTAACCCACATGGAGGGTTGTTATTAGGAGAGGGAACATCACTTTCCAGAGGGAGAGAGAGAGCGTAGCAGGCAAGAAAGGATGAAAGATTTATGCCAGAGAGTGGTGGAAGCATATGGGGTCGGGTCCCAGGAGAGTGCACTGAAACTAAAGCCAATGAAAATAAGGTGGGGGGGATGAGCGGTAGGAAGCAGGGGGTGAAGAGGGTTGGAAAACGGCCCGTGGACGAGGCTAGAGAAGACACTGCCAGGAGTCTCTTGCAGAGCATTGGTGAGCGCTAGAGGTGAAGTGGAATTACATGGGTTGAAAGAGCAAAGGGAAACGAAGGGAGCAAAGGTAACGAATACAAACCAGTCTTTAAACTGTTCAGTAACTTAAAAATGAGGTGATCCTTTGGCAAGCACGATTCAGGACCTTCTATGGAACTGGCACTGGGGAGGTTCAAGGGGACGAGACCTGAGTCCAGTCTTCAGAGACTAACACAAGAGAGGGAGCAGGCTGGAAGGGCTCTGAGCGAGGGTGCTCTGGGAGCACTCTGTGATGTAAAAGGAAAGGGCACAGTATCTGGGGGAAGGGACAGGCCTAGATGTAGGATCAGGAGGCTGTAAGGCATTTGCTACTAATGGACGGGAGAAATCTACACAGGATGCAAGCTGTGATGGCAAAACGTCCGAGGCGCGTAAGGGCAGAGCTGGCGAGGACTCAGCAGTGCAGGTGGAAGAGACATCGTTCCCCACTGGAGAGGGGTATGAAGGTAGAAGCAAGTGTAGGGGTGGGTGGGGGGAGGAGAATTCAGCTTGGTGTTTCAAGCGGAGTTTAAGAGAAGGCACGTGGCGGCACTAGGGGCGGCAGGGGTTGGAGAAACGGAGAAGCCACGGAAAGAGCCCCTCTAGGTGTTGTTCTGGAAAGGGAAGCAATAGGAATGAAATCTCCAACCACACCTGGGCGAGACTGACTTTCAGACGCACCGTACTGACTCCACAATTTCCCCTCCCCTGCTTTCGTAGGAGCAGAGGTCTGGAAAGCGGTCTGTTCTTGCATTTCTTTGACAGAGTGACCCGGGGTCAGAGTAGGAACAAGTGCACGGTCAGATCCACTAAGCCAGTTAACAGTAGGGGAACTCAAGGATATTTTCAACCAGATGCAGTAATGTCAGTGGGTATGAGGCCACAGGAAAAGGGAGTGGGCCGATCCCTTCCCGTGACCAGCTGGCGCATGTTCCCTTGCCAAGTGACGACAACTGAGCTACTTCAATGAAACACTCCATGCTTACCAATGGAGGCCAATGATAACCACAGGAAGATACGGTGCAGGGGCTTCTTCCAATGCATTCAGGTTCCGTCAAACCAAACTCGCTGCTATGTGACTACAGGACAGGGCAGAACGGCCCCTGTGGGTTTCGGAGATGGTAACTCTTTACTGGAGTAACAGGGTCTTTCTACCTCAGAGGCGGCTGGTGGTTTCAAAGGATCGACCTCGCAGCTCGCAGCCCAACTCGTAACCACTACACCACCAGGACTCTAGCTTATGTCTAAATTCAGTCGAACAAAAATAAGATATATTACAACCTGTGCCTTCAAACATTCCATCAAGTGAGACCATGTTAAAACTGGCCCAGCAGTACCACCCCAAACAGCCTAATTTTCTCCACTCCTTCTAAGACACAGCTGTCTCTTCTAGTGACGGGCTACTAGAGGAAGACATTGGGTAGTGTCAGGGTCCCTGATGTCTAGAAAATACATATCCAAACACCAGGATCTCACTCAACCTGGAGATGTCCCACAGTGGGGAGTCTTCTGGAACACCACCTCTTGTCTGAGGGAACAGCAGGCCGGTGTGGTCTCAGGATCCCTCTGCAAGCCCCGAAAATGGTGGAACCGTTGCCCACACTATTTCAACTGCTCTTTCTTCTTCTTTTGCTAGGAAGCACAGTTGAGCCTTCAGTGGTTAAGTGTACGCATACTCTTTCTCCACAGTACACCTACTTAACAGGTACTGGGTCCATAAACCTCTGACAGTCACCGATCTAGTTTGCTAGTCAATCTAATCTGGTACATTCTGGTAAGTCATCAGGAAATCCCAGAGGACCCACATTTGTCCTTCATGAGGGACTTACCTCGGTCGGCTGGTCAGCTGACTGTGGGATCATAAGCTGGTTGTGGTGCTGTAGTACTGTCTTTAAGTAATCCAACACAGTCTGGCAGGGCACTGGGTGGAATAAATTACAATAATTAGCTATCCCATCACATGAAAAACGTTAATTAAGGTCTAAACAGATTTTTGATGTAAATGTCTTAAAAGAACAAAACAAAACAAGATGACGATGACATTTTCTAAAGGAAATAAAGTCTTCTATTTGGCATCTACACTTATTCCAGTTTGCAAATCCGGAACGGATGCTACGTCATTGGGAGGTTATTGAGTCTTCCCAGAGGCTCAGAACAATTCACCGACAATTTTCAAGTCAAAAAGGGCGCTAAGGTGAACGCGGGCCAGCAAGGACCCTGACCAGCTCCCAGCAGAGGCATGCTTGGTCTTCTTGGACGCTGTTGTAGTGTTAACACCTAACAAGATGGTTTAAAGTTAAAGTCCTGAAAATGTAGGTTTTACTACTGTTGAATCCATAATATAGTACTCATTTTTAATGATAGGTTCCTTCTCAAATTCTTCTGTACAGCGTAATTCTGGGCAATTTAGATTTGCGCCCCCATATAAATGAGCTCACAGTTCTTTTTTCCTCTACTAAGTTGGAATTTTTTTTTTAATTTTCATAAATCATTTTATTGGGGGATCTTACAGCTCTTGTAACAATCTGTACATAAATTGTATCAAGCACATTTATACATATGTTACCATCATCATTTCCAAAATATTTTCTTTGGTATCACCTCTTCCCCCAACCCACCTTCTTATTTTATAAATTATTTTTATTTTCATATTTTACACCAACCACTGTCTCCCTTCACCCACATTTCTGTTGCTCATCCCCCTGCAGGGAAGGTTGTACATTGATCACTGTGATCGGTTACCCCTTTCTCCTCCTTCTCCCCCACCTTCATTGGTATCGCTACTCTCATTGTTGGTCCTGAGGGGCTTATCTGTCCTGGATTCTGTGTGTCAAGAGCTCTTATCTGTACCAGTGTACATGCTCTGGTCTAAGTAGATTTGTAAAATAGAACCGGGGTCATGCTAGTCGGGGGTGTGTGCGTGCGCGGCATTAAAGAACTAGAGGAATGGTGCATGTTTCCTTGGTGCTATACTGCACCCTCGCTAGCTCGTCCCTTCCTGCGAGCCTTTCGTGAGGAGATGTCCGATTGTCTATAGATGGGTTTTGGGTCTTCATTCCAATCCCCCTAAATGGCTGTCTACTGTGGATCTTCTGATGCCTGATAACGGATCTTATAGACAGCTCTTGATCACACGGGTTGGTATGCTCCTTGCAGGTGGACTTTGTTGCTTATCAGCTAGGTGGCTGCTTGTTTAACTTCAAACCTTGTAATAGCCGGGCACCATCAGCTTTCTTCACCACATTAGCTTACCAGTATGCACCCATTTTGTCTTCAGCGATCGTGTCGGAAGGGTTAGCATCACAGAATGCCAGGTTATTAGGACAAAGTGTTCTTGCATTGAGGAAAGAGTTGATAGAGGCCCAATGTCTGTCTGCTATCTTAATACTTAACCTATAAATATATGTGCATAGACCTATATCCTAATGTTATATATCAATATATTTACATATGCACATGCCTCTTTATACCTCTATATATGTCTTTTGCCTCGTAGTTCTTTCCTCTATTTCCTTTTACTTTCCTCCTGTCCCACTATCATGTTCAACCTTCATTCGGCTCTCTGTACTTCCTCTTAGCTCCACTGCACTTGATCAAATCCCACCAGGCATTTTATGCTCTCCTCGCCATCGATTTAGATCTCTTGTTGTTCCCTTGTCCCTGGGTTTGTTGGCTCCCCACACCTTGCCCCCCACCTCCTCTCCTCTGTCACCCCAGAACCATTGGTCCCATTATTTTCTCCTTGGGATTGTTTATCCTGCCTATCTTATACAGACATGAAAAAAAAAGTCTATGAATGGTTCCAGGTCTGTCTGCTGACCCTTATGAAGGTTTTCTGATGGGGTCAGATGTAGTGTCAAGCCCTGCCCCCTGCATCCTAAGTTTATTTCAGAATTCCTTGGGGACTTTGCTGCTTTGTTCCCCTTGCTGCTCTCTTGCACTCCTTTCATGTTATACCCTGGTAGTGGTAGTGGTGGTTGGAGGGTGTGTGTGTGTGTCAGACTGGGCACAATTCCTGAACTGTGTCTCCGGTGCTGCCAACCATATCGCGTAAGGAGACGTCATGTCTTGTGGTGGTGCCAACCCTATGGTCCTCTCTGTGCACTGGCTGCTCCAGCGAGAATGTCATCCTTGATGCGTGGTGGGCCAGGATTTCGGTCCAATCTCTCTCTTTCCCTCTTAGTGTGATCCCATGTGGTCTGGGCAGACCTGCCACTTTCCCCGGGCTCCATCTTCAGTGCTGTCCTCTATGGTGCATTCTTCTGGTCGATGTAGCTGGGAGAGGGCTGGCCTGGCTCATGGTTATTACTCTAAGTCTTTAACCCTCTCGCTCTCTT